GTACATATGTTGTAGTATATATATAGGTCTCCACATGCATAGAAGCTTATCTAAGGACCAAAAACAAACGTATTATCCGAATCGGTATTACTGAAATAATAGAGATATGCAATCAAAGCATACGAATGTAAGCGCTAATTACAGCTGAATGGTCTAAAACATCACTCAGTCAGACATCAAAACAATAATAGTGCAAACGGTGGGTAATAGTGTAAATAGTATGTGTTACCATATAGACACAAGTGTGGCATTTTAGCGGTCCGATGATCACTCAGTTGTCGTTGATAAGGTCATTGTTATGAGTGTAATATTTTATTGTGCAATTGTGTATTGTCGGGTCGGTGAGCACTATGTGTGGGGAATGACAACAAACCGCTTAAGTGAACCGACACTTCGTGTGAATCCACTTGAATATTCTGATGTAATGAAAAGTTTAACCGAATATTTCGGAATCAAATTAAAGTAGCGTTATAAAATTGGTCGAGCATTTTGTAATAAAAAGATAAATTATTACATAGGATAAATTTTAAGATATTGGGATGACTTTTGATTGTAGAAAGTAGTCTTTACTATGTATTTAACGTATTAAAATTATGGTAATCTTACGTTTCCTTTACGTTGGCTCGCAGATTCGCACGGTGTACTGAACAAGTGAAGGTCACACTGTTTAGAGCTTTCTGCCAGACCTTTTACACATGCAGCCTGTGGACCAAACATACGCAGAGAACATACAACGCGCTGCGTGTGCAATACAATAATGCGTTTAGGGTGCTGATGGGGCTGCCGCGGTACTGTAGCGCCAGTGGTATGTTTTCGGAGGCGCACGTGGACGGCTTTCACGCCATCATACGCAAGCGAAGTGCGTCTTTAATGGCGCGGGTGCGCGGCGGCCCCAGCGCCATCCTGGCCGCGTGCACAGTCCAATGTGACTCTGTACTAATGGCGCACTGTATAGGCCTACACGCTAAAGCGAATGTCTGATACATTTAATCTGTGTGGTTTTATTTCATTTTTAATTAAGTATGCTATTACTAACATAGGCTAAGAACATTATTACTAACAAATTATGGAAGCAATTTATCAATACATAGTATAAAACAAAGTCGCTTTCGCTGTATGTCCGTATGTATGCTTAGATCTTTAAAACTACGCAAGGGATTTTGATGCGGTTTTTTTTAATAGATAGAGTGATTCTTAAGGAAGGTTTGTATGCATAATACATGCATATTGCACCCGTGCGAAGCCGGGGCGGGTCGCTAGTTCTAACATAAATTTAATTATTATTATTTACAGTGCGACAGATATGTAAATGCATAAACCTACAAGTTCATACTTTTGAAAGTGCTAGAGAAGTTTGTCAGACTAAAACACCCATAAGGTGCATATTACGACACTGAATGCCACTGTACAATGCAAATCCCACTTTTCACTATCTATGTTATGAGTCCCATGTAATTGGGAGTGAGCCTATTGCCATAATACCACATTTCCAGACTTCGTGAATTTAAACTAAAACATCCATCACGACTTTACTCTAGTCATTAACAGTAATTACGATATGATCTCTACTTCAATGTTCATACTAAAATGATGGTACATCGACAAACCCATAGATTAACAATCCGCTTACTAGGTCATACTCATATCCATAAATAGTACAAACATTATCCAGTGCGAGGATAACTCAGGATCATAAATATCGATTGGCAGGAAGCGGGAGAGTAACGAGCCATAGCACGCCATGATTTATGGGCACCGGTGGGTTATAGTTACTGCTACAGACATCATTACCTGATAGGTACAGGTTTGTTATGGTAAAAGGTTTGTGAGTAAGAGTTTATTTACATAAGTCTTCGGTTGTGTGTTGAAAAAGTATTTGATATTGGGTTATCGATCTTTTTCTTACAATAGCTAGAGACGGACGAATGTACTAGTTAGAATGCACATACATATTGAGGCTAGCCTTTTTTATTTTTTGTCTACATCTCTGTGCATGTAATGTGCCGAATAAATGTTTTTTTCTTCTTTTCTGTATTTTTTGGGTTGTAATCTATATATATAAAAATCAATGCCACTTTTCGTTGTAATTCCATAACTCAAGAACGGGCTCACCTATCCAAACCAAATGCTTAGGATTTGGTCGGCATATTTAGTAGATGGTTTATGTGAAGTTTGCACAAAATCGGTCGAGCGGTTCCTCATTTGTCACATTTTTTGTAATAAATGAATTCAATAGAAACTTTTTTCACAGAAACTTTTTTGAAGTTTTGTTGACAGGACAAGCACGTTGTTATGTCATTCATGCCGTCAGTTCATTTTGGACGTGGTTTGATTAAAGCATATTATCAGCGATAAATTTCTTTTCACATAATTGCATTTGCAGTGCATTCATACAAACGGTGAGTCCTGAATTTATGTGTACTTTTCTAAGTTGCCGTATATGATTTCACATAGCATCATATGCGACAGCTTCTTGGGAATTTGTTTTTTTTTTTGTTCTAATTTTTTTTTTCGATTTTTAAGCGAAAACATATGTGCATACGGGAAAAATGCCACCAGCCAGACGAGCAAATATAGGTCGGCGAACGCGTAATGCAAATGATGTGGCATTACTAAGACGATCACAGACTGCAGATGAACGCGCACAAGCTAATGCATCGCAGCGTGAACGTAATGCACGCAATGGATTTGTTAACCCAGTACCTGTACTGAATCTTGCACGGCCATCACGAATACGTCGTGCTGTTTTGGCTGAAATGATGCGTGCTGCTTTTAATTACAACAGTCAGATTGATTATAGTATGTATGGATACATTGGAATGATGGACGCAATATGTCCACATTGTGATGCGGCTAACTTTCCAGGTGAAACGCCCGGCATGTGTTGTGCTAATGGCAAAGTGAGATTGCCAGCATTAGAAACTCCACCCGAACCATTGTATTCATTTATTTTTGGGACATCGCAAGCGTCGAAGCACTTTCTGAGTCATATTCAACAATACAATTCGGCATTTCAAATGACTTCTTTTGGTGCAACTAAAATTATTAGAGATAATTTTATGCCGACGTTTAAGGTAAATACTTCAACAGGATTATTCCATGTTTGTATCAATCTGAAGCATAAAGTATATTTAAAAAAAAACTGATATAAGATTTACCTAAAATTGTATACATGTTACAGATTCAGGGCCAGATTTATCATCAAGCTGGTTCGTTATTGCCATACCCCGACGCTGATCATCAATTTTTGCAAATTTATTTTATTGGTGATGAAAATCGTGAATTGGATCAACGTTGTGCAATTGTTTCGAATACAAGACGAGAAATTATTCGTGAGCTACAAAGGTTTTTCCATCAGCATAACGCATTAGTTCAATTGTTTAAAATTGCTCTCGATCGTATGCCAACTGATAATCACAAAATCGTAATAAGAGCTGATAGAACACCTTTTGGAGAGCATGCAAGGCGATTTAATGCACCAACAATTGATGAGGTTGCAATTGTAATTCTTGGTGATCAGTTTCAATCCCGTGATATTGTACTTCATCGTAGAAATGAGCAATTGCAACGTGTTTCGGAACTTCATCGTAGTTACGATGCATTACAGTACCCAATATTGCATTGGAAAGGTGACGATGGTTACCATATCAATATACCAATGATTGATCCACGAACAGGTAAATAATTGACCTATTTTTAGTGTGTTGACATTTCATTTCTACAACTTTCTAAAGTCACATTTTGTAATTATTTTCAGGTCTACATATACAGAAAAAAGTTAGTGCCATGAATTTTTATTCGTATCGATTGATGATTCGTCCACAAGAACAAAATTATATCTTAAAATGTGGTAAACTATATCATCAGTACATCGTTGATATGTATGCCAAAATAGAGACTGAACGTCTTAATTTTATTCGTTTCAACCAAGCAAAATTAAGATCCGAAGAATATATTCATTTGCAAGATGCGATAGCGAATGATGCTAATGTTAATGACATCGGACGTTTAACTATATTGCCATCTTCGTATATTGGTAGCCCACGGCATATGAACGAATATGCACAAGACGCAATGTCTTATGTACGAAA